GAGCCAGCGCCCGCAGAGGCAGCGCCCGCCGAGGCAGCGCCCGCGGAGGCAGAGCCCGCGGAGCCAGCGCCCGCCGCGGAGCCAGCGCCCGCGGAGGCGCACGTCCCTAAATTCAGTCCGCTCAAGGTCCACGGAGTGCACTGCACTTTCATCGGTCCGGCTATGTGCAGGTCGTGGATGTTCAGAAGATGCTCGGCTTCCTGCGGAGCGGCGAGCCCTTTCCGGAGCTGGAGGAGGTGGTCGCCTTCATCCCTCGCCACTTTCCGTTTGGGTCTTATGACACCACGGTTCTGAAGCCCGGGCAACGCGCTCTGGTGCCGGAGAATTGCACTGGGCTGCGCCTGTGTTTAACCGACTGCCGCTTGTTTGCGCAGCCCACCGAGAAGGCCGCGGAGGAGTCGGAGAGCAGTTCGACGCGAGCGGAGACGGAGCCAGCCCCCGAGGAGCCAGCCGCCGAGCCCGCAGCCGCCGAGCCCGCAGCCGAGGAGCCAGCCGCGGAGGAAGCCGTGGAGCCCGCAGCCGCCGAGCCCGCAGCCGAGGAGCCCGCAGCCGCCGAGCCCGCAGCCGTGGAGCCCGCAGCCGCCGAGCCGGCAGCCGAGGAGCCAGCCGCGAGGAGGCCGAGCCCGCCGCCTCCACGGTCCGTCTCTTCGGCGAGAAAGGCTTCGACGTCCACATGGGAGGCGAACCCTTCGCGCGGGTCCTGGGCGACCTCTACCGCGCTGGCAAGGTCATGGAAAATCTCGATTTCAAGGTGCAGCTGGAACTCTACAACGATAGCCGCAAGAAGGGCGAGCCCGTGGTTGTCGACACGATCCCCAGGATGGTGCAGGACCGCAAGGCCTTCGATGTGGGCGGCATCATCGCAAGGGTGAGTTGGGTCAGCATGCTGGTGCCCGCCCCCTCCCAGATCAACGGCTTCTGGGGCTACTGGGACGATGGCCGCCGCGAGATCGTGAGCAACTTCCACGAGCTCCTCGCGGCCGACAACCCGCCCTACGGCCCGGAGACCGTGTTCACTGTCGGAGGCGAACTCTACGGCATCCAGGGGTACGATCCAAGCACGCAGACCGTGCGCACCGACGATGGCCGCGAGGTGGCCCTGAGGGACGTGCACTCCATCTTGGCCAACATGTGATCCGACCGAAGCAGCGCCCCAACGGACAGAGTGCGGCGCCAAAAGGTCTCTTTCAGTGTGTGTGTGTGCATTTGCCCCCTGCCCTCCTGAACGCCCCCGATGCAGAGCCAC